ACCTGGTGAGATTTCTGAGCTTTTCCTCAAAAGTCACCGTTAGTTAGGAATTTTTTCAAGTTCATAGACACACGTTGTGTGTTGTAAAAATAAGCAGCGGTATCTTGTGACATACTCGTACTCAGTTATGCAATGGCCTACTCAATGTTAGGGCTGTTGCTAAACATCCCTTGCTTACTCACAGATTTAGCATTACACACATTTTTACCATAAAAAAACGAAGATTAACTATGTCACCACTTGTAGCGTATTTTTTCAATGTCATCGGTTATAGCTACTTCACATGTAGGTGTGTGTGTGTGTGTGTGTGTATGTGTTAATTAGATTATTTACTCATTTATTCTTTTATTAATTTCATTTATTTATTCATCGGTTCAGTTATTCCTTCGTCCATCAATCTATCAGTTCATTTATTTGTTTGTTAAGCCATACCGGTACATGGTATCTGTAGACCTATTGTCTATCATACCATATGGTATATGGTATGATTCCACTTGTGTATACAAATGTAACGATAATAAAAATAATTTTCAGGTACTTTTAACTTTTACTTTAGTTAGAAACACACATTTATTTAAAATAGTTATCTATGCCTACTCACGTAGTCATTGTCAATGCTGGACATAAACGATCATTATATGATAATTAAGATATAATGTATAATGCGTAAAATATAGTTAATTCCAAAACAAAGTCGGCATGCAATAAAGGCAGGATTAGTAACACATAAACAGTGATATGATATGCAATGGAAGTGCTAATGAGGGGGCTGTGGGAAAGCGTCACTTTAGCTAGCAAACTAACAACTGGTGATAAATTATTAAAAGCTATTCTATATAAATAGTGTTATATTTGAGAAGGAAGCTGTGAAAATAATTATGTATTAAATAATATATCACTCAGTAGTATAAAAGATAAGATCGAATGCAAAAAAAACAAAACTTTATTTGCAATGCATAACAAAACACAAAATTAAAACACAAATTGATGTTGAACAAAAAATATAAAATCAGTATCTCTTGTCAGATAAACAAAAAAACAAACCGTAAAAAACATTAAAACAATCAGAGCAATTTCGTTGTGTGAGTGCTCCGATATCGTTGTGTAAGTGAACTTTAACAACTTGGTCTACCTATTTTAACTTTCATCCACTAAACAAGATTAGATTGCAATACCAGCTATAAGTATTATAGAAGATAATTCCCTACAATCGTCTTTGTATACGGTACGTTCTAATTAATAGCTTAGACTGGTTATTTCAAATACAGAATCCCCATATGGGTACCGCATACTCAAGCACCGGTGGGCGTATCACACTTACAATATTAAACAAATAAATGTATGTAGGCCTATTGAAAAATAATATTAAATAGAAGACCGATGATTCACGTGTGTTCCATTAATATTGGGTCGAAGTGCAAAGGAAATTAACAGGTAAAAGTGGGAGGGTCTTGATAGTCTCTGCATCTTCAAACTACACTTTAAATAATGTTATTACTTGTCACGAAACACGTTACAGTGACAGTATTTAGGGCCTATGCCTAATAATAATAATAATAATAATAATAATAATAATAATAATAATAATAATAATAATAATAATAGAGGGCCTAGTACCATCAGCAACTATTAAACAAAATGTTGTTGTATAGAGGGCGCTATATTTCCGTATAGCAGAGCCATTTTCCAAATGCAAAAATAATCTTATTTAACCATGTTTTCTTTTTTTTCAGTATTCTCTGATTTCAGGCAGGTAAGCTTTCTGTTATATTCATTATATATTTATGCAGTCTTCTAATTATACATTTTTACAGTAATTATTTTCTCAAATATTAAGGCTTCTACAAAGTATATTTTCTTAAATCATAGAACTGGTTTGTTTATATTTTTTATTATTTATTTCATACGTTAATACAAATTTCGATATTTGATCTGAAATTTTAATTATTATCACTCTGGTGACCATACCTTAAAATTTGTTTTTCAATCTTACTTTGGTCGCCATCCACACACTTTTTTAGGTTATCGTATCTATTGTTTTTTTAAACAAACAAAAACATATATAACTTGTACTACGTATTGATATTTATGAATAGGGCCTAATACATACGTTGATTACGTGTATTTTTTAAGGCGGGAGTCGAGGTTTATGAAAATTATTACAATTGTATTAGTGTATGTGATTAAAAAAAAAAAACTAATATTTGAGAGGCTATTATGTGATAACTAAACAGATAATTAGCCGTGGGTATTTTGACAAGCACTTCTACTGTTAAAGTATGAGTACCAGCATCATTCAAACCAACTACCATCGATAGTAACTGTCAATACCATAGTCGTTATCACCAGCACAAGCATTAACCCCAGCATTGGCATAAATACCAGGTCGTTACTTGTGCGAGAATCATTAATAATAGTAGGCCTATCAGTGGTTCCAATGAGAAATATTAGTTACCGATTGTGCCAATGGGAATAAGGCACCCTTGGTACCAGGGATGCTGCGGATGAAGTATCAACTGGTCCCAATGAGTATGAGGTGTCAATAGAACCAATAAGGATGCGGGTGAAGTATCAATGGTCCCAATGAGAATGAGGTGTCAAATGTACCAACCAATAAGGATGCGGGTGAAGTATCAATGGTACCAATAAGAATGAGATGTCAATAGTACCAACCAATAAGGATGCGGGTGAAGTATCAATGGTCCCAATGAGAATGGGGTGTCAAATGTACCAATGAGGATGTGGATGAAGTAACGATGGTGACAATGAGAATGTGGTGTCAATTTTACCATTAAGGATGCGTGGTTTTGTCGAAATTCTTTGTTGGTTTGTGTTCTGTGGCATGGCATTTACGGGTCACAAAAATATTATCGATTGTTGCAAATGCCACTTAAAACCGAGAATGTGGTGTCAATTGTGCCATTCAGGATGCGTGGTTTTTGTCGAAATTCTTTGTTGGTTTGTGTTTTGTGGCATTTACGATTGTTGCAAATGCCACTTAAAATCTATGTTTAAGCTTAAATTATAAAAAAATTCATATAATATCTATTTAATTTAATATTAGGTTTAATTCTGGCATAATTTATATTTTAATTTAATTCTCAAAGAATTTCATCTACTCTACTAAATTATTGGCTTATCTTTTTTTTAAATCCTAAAAGTGAATTTAATGCTATGAGATTGATGTTGAACAAGGAAATAGTCCAATTTTGACAAAAACGCAAAGGGTATATAGCCCAACTTTCTTCGACATTGGACAATTTTTTGACCATGCCATTTTTCGGTTTTGTGTACTGTGGCATCTACGGATGGATTGCATGTATATAATTATAGCATTACCACAGGACGGTTTAGAGTTTATAGAAACAATATTGTGTGTTGGAGAAAAAAAAGCAAGGGTTGACGATTTCGGAACATAAATATAATTTATTTTAACGAATATTTCGTCCTCTACGTAAGGACTTCATCAACGTAACTGAATAACTTTGCAGTTACGTTGATGAAGTCCTTACGTAGAGGATTTCATCAACGTAACTGAGTAACATTGCAGTTACGTTGATGAAGTCCTTACGTAGAGGTAACTGAATAACATTGCAGAGAACTCACTATTTATAAAATAATGGTGATACTTTATAGTTATTTTAATCAATGTGTGTATGGGCGGTTAATTAAAAACGATAAACAATTAAACAGTATTAAGCGTGTAATACAAATATAACTCTCAGAACATATAT